CAGCAGACCAGCCAATCAGCGTTCGTGACACAGCGGGAGCGGGCGGCTCTAACCATTACGCGCTTCCTATTGATAAGACTTCTCATTTACTGAGCAAGGAGCCAATCGTGTGCGGGTATCTCACGTATTAAGACAAGGGGGAGGAACAATAAAAAGCGCTGAGTGGAGAGTGGAGTGGATTTCTATTGGTCTTTCGGAAGCCGTTATCACCGCCCCTCTGCTATCCGGCGCTCTGATTGGTGCTTCGGAGCTGGCGAGTGTGGTAGGCGTGGCCATCTCGCGGTTGGACGTCATGAAGGAGCTGGCAGTACTCCCCCCGCCCTTACTCGTATTCTTCACGCGCACTTGCGCCTTTTCCGTAACTTATTCCCAGTCTCCGCCTTAGGCGCTACGTCAACGCGAGGAGAGGGAGGAGGGCATTGCAGGAAAAAAAAAATCCCGACAGGCAAATGCGGTCAGTCGGACGGAGGGTGACAAAGGGAAGGAGTGCGAGCTGGGAGCGCAGGGACCGGGAGCCGAGCAGCAGGAGATCCGGCCAGTAATCAGGGCCTGCCCGCCAGGGAGACAGGAAGGGGCAGCCCGAGCCCTGAGCCCCCCCCGCCGCCAGGAACCGGGGCCCCCCCACAGCGCCATCACAGGGGCTCCCCGAGAGGAGGAGGAGGAAGCTGGGCCGCCATGACATCTCCACCCTCCTCTGCCCGGCACTAAGGGCCCCAACCTGCCTCAGGGGCCCCAGAGAGCCAACCCCCCTCCCCCCCAGAAAAAACAGCCCCCCCAAAGAGCCAGCCCCCCTCCCCCCCAGAAAAAACAGCCCCCCCAAAGAGCCAGCCCCCCTCCCCCCCAGAAAAAACAGCCCCCCCAAAGAGCCAGCCCCTCCCCCAGAAGAGCCAGCCCTCCCCAGAGAGCCAGCCCCCTCCCCAGAAAAAAACAGCCCCCAAAGAACCAGCCCCTGCCGAGAGCCAGCCCCCCAGTACATGCTCCCCCTGCCAGTCACTAGCCATGGCCCTGTGACCCCCAATCCGCTGCCATATTGATCCCCCCAATCTGCTGCCATATTGATCCCCCCAATCTGCTGCCATATTGATCCCCCCAATCTGCTGCCATATTGATCCCCCAATCTGCTGCCATATTGATCCCCCAATCTGCTGATCCTCTGCTGCCATATAGACACCCCCAATCTGCTGCCATATTGACCCCCCAATCTGCTGCCATATTGACCCCCCATTGGATTCCCCCCCCTGAGGGATGGTGGCAGAGCATTGACTGCCTCTGGGATAAGGTGACTGCATTCAGCCAAGTGTTAGGGTGCACCTGGACTCCTCTGGTGCACCCCATCTGATTGTAAAGAGGCTGGGGTCTTGATGGTCTTGCCCTCTGTCTGGCTTTTTTAACGAAGAGAGAAGGTGAGGGAGGAGCTGGAGCATCATGTCGGGGAGGCCGAGAACCACATCCTTTGCAGAAAGCTGTAAGCCAGTGCAGCAGCCGTCCTCGTTTGGCAGCATGAAAGTCAGCCGTAAGTATCCGCCTTTCCATGGTCGGGTGGTAAGACCCATGGGACATGGTCTGGGAGAAACGTAGAATAACCACAAACATGAAAAGTGGTAACCCTATCAAAACCCGTACCACACTGCCTAATCTGATGGAGAGCTGTCCTTAGAGATGGCAGTTTTCAGTGAAATCTCTGTGGGTCCATAAGTCTAAGGAATTTTGCGAGTAATTGTCCCAAAGGGTTTACAATCTGTACTTTTTTTTGTTTTTTTTTTAAATCCCATTAGTTTGTGGAATATAAAAGATATGTATGGTTCCTCGTATATCCATATAAAAGACCGGTTTGTGTTCTGTGACCCACACTTTGGTTTAATAGCGTAACCCCCCTTTTTTACATTGTCATCTGGTGCTGTCTCTTCTAAAACCTGTGTCCTCACAATGGCTGGGTGATAAAAGCAGAGGCATACGGTGTTAAGTGATTGGCAGTCTGGCAAACCCAAATGGCAAGTCTTTCTTGTCTGCCTTGTCTAATCCGATGAATATTGTCCTACAATGTAGAGACGTGTGCCCTGTCTGCCGTTAGTGCTCCAGCAATGGATACGGTTGATATAATAAGAATTGCATCTGGTATTTGTAGCCCCTGCCACCTTGGGAATCCCATGATCACGTCTTCCTCTTTCATTGTTAAGTGTAATATATGCACTCTGTAAAGGCTGTCCATCTTATTTTCTAATGCAGTTGTAACTGTTCGCATTTTATACTAATCAATGACAGATAATATGGCTTCTCATTGATTAGGCCTTTGCGGAGACCCAGTCTTGCTTTAGAAGGGTCGCCTCTCTGTGTTCAGAACCCATCCTCCATAGTCGGCTTTCTCAGTGGAGAAACCGCCATTGCTGCAGCGCTGCCTGTCTGCAGGTTACTCTGACAGCAGGTTGGGCTTGTAATGCTTTGAAGATTATGGTCTGTTCATTCCTTTCTTCTATTTATAATGGTCATGCTTTGTGGCACAGCCCACTCTACCCATTCATCTAGACAGTCAGCCATATTTAGCTGAATTAATTTGACTTTTAGCACATTGAGCAGGCTGCTAATCTCTGTATTGTGTAGGAACGTGCAGCTGTCCTCAGAAGCTTGGAGACAGCCCCACCTTAATGCAAGATACAGCATCGAGGGAGCCATTAGCAATCCTAACGTCCAACGTGTGCCAAAATCCGGCTTTCCCTTTATGTATCGTAGGACATGGCTTGATGAACGGTAGATGGGCCTTGAGGTAAGGGTTGGATGCCCTCCCTCTCTGCTCCTTCTCCAACCCCACCCTTTTCCACCTTGGACAGACAGAATGGTCGCCCAGTAATCTGGCTGCTTCTATGACATCTCGCCTGGTTATGCCTTTTTTTTTTTTTTTTTTAATAGACCGCAGACCGAGCTGTCTGTCAGTGCCCTTGGAAAGGCGAGGTTTCTGCTTTCCTACATTCACCTTCATTATTTCAAGAAAATCTGCCTTTTTTCAGTTATGTGAAATAGTGTATTAAAATAGCAGTAGCTTAATATTCCCTTTCTACCCCAAAACCCCAATCTCTTTAATTCACTATTTAATGAAATCCTATTATTTCTGTGAAGTGGAAATGTATGGGATGCAATTTTATGTATTTTTAGTTTTTTATATTTTTTTCCATTGTCTGTAAATATATAATTCTGTCCAGAGATTTTATTGATTTTTATAAATAATATATCTTTACATTAAGGAAGGGTGTTTTTTTTAAATTTTTTTAAATGTATTTTTATTTAAGATCGTATAAAATCTTTACATTTCTCAATGGTTAATTGTTCAGTATAGGCGTTGTATTTGAGAAGGTGTGAATATGCATTCTTTGCTGTGTTTTTAGTTCATATCACAGAAATTCTGATTATTTGGAGGTAATATAAATGCACCATTTACACGGTACCGATGCGTGATCTTCCTTTTATCCTTGGCATGTTGAGAGAAGCCACTTCCTTGGCAGGGCGGGTGGGAGGAGTGCTGGGGAATGATGCAGTCTTTCTCAATAAATCCAGATCCCGAAATAAATCGCTTCCTCCTCGCACATCTGGGTAGAGCGTGGCTCACAGGCAGTGTGTTTGCCAGCCCGCAGAGCTATGCCGTTCTGGTGTGTGCTATTATTTGGATGTGCACACACATGCTGGGGCCCTACCCTTACTTGTGCTAATGTGGGGCCAGTACTTGCTTCTGTCATATATCCAGAGGTTAGTCACCAAATTATTTCCTGTGTGATGCCTTTAAAGACCTCTGCTCTGGGGTGGAGAGGGGATGGTTGGAATTAACACTTTCAATGACAGACATGAGTTCTTGGTTTTTAGCACCAGGTGATGTCTCTGACCTAGGGATCAAATCCTAGTCCTCTAATGCTGTTAACTAACACGTGTAGCCCTTTAATCTGCATGATTCATGATCAGGGAATGCAGCTTCCTTTATACTCTCGTTAGTAAGGCCCAGTGTCCCCCTCTAAACGCTTCATTTTCACACATGGGCAATCATATGGAGCAGTTGGCGTGTGGCTATAGCCTTCATGGGACATCTTCATGTGTGTACTAACTTGATCGGTTACATGAAACATGAAAAAGCTTAAATAAAGATAATAATTTAACTTCACCTTCAGAGTGGAATTAAAATAACATATTACAGTGGCTCTGTCATTGTTTCTTTCCTTATTTATACTCACTCCGTTGCCACTTGTGCCTTTTATTTAAATTTTATCATCTTTTCTTCCTTGTGCCAGATCTCTGTTTTACTATGTCCATGTTGACTGCCGTTTGCCCCTTTTTGTAGCAGTGATTTTACAGATGGATTGTGGGTACATTTGATTAAAGGACCACTATAGTGCCAGGAAAACATACTCGTTTTCCTGGCACTATAGTGCCCTGAGGGTGCCCCCACCCTCAGGGTCCCCCTCCTGCCCGGCTCTGGAAGGGGGAAAGGGGTTAAAACTTACCTTTTTCCAGTGCTGGGCGGAGAGCTCTCCTCCTCCGATCCTCCTCTTCTCCTCCCCGTCGGCTGAATGCGCACGCGCGGCAAGAGCTGCGCGAGCACTCAGCCGGTCACATAGGAAAGCATTCATAATGCTTTCCTATGGACGCTGGTGTGCTCTCACTGTGAAAATCACAGTGAGAAGCACGCAAGCGCCTCTAGTGGCTGTCAATGAGACGGCCACTAGAGGCTTTGGGGGAAGGCTTAACCCATTCATAAACATAGCAGTTTCTCTGAAACTGCTATGTTTATGGAAAAAATGGGTTAACCCTAGCTGGACCTGGCACCCAGACCACTTCATTAAGCTGAAGTGGTCTGGGTGCCTAGAGTGGTCCTTTAACCTTGCTTTAAACCCCTCCCGTTGTCTAGTTTTGTCAATTTGTCTGCAATATATGATCAATAGTAGTTCCTATAATTCTTTATGTATGTTACGACCAATAGAGCGCTCAGAAAAGAGATTTGGCCTGGCAGGAAGTAATACCGTTATGTAGAAGCAGAATAAATAAAGTTTTTATTCTTGGTGACCCTCTCCCCCGAAATTGGATGCTTCAATCAGAAACTCATTGTGGTCTATGGAAGCTGGTATTATTCCATAAACGTTAATTTTAAGCCCTTATGGGATCCGTAGTTTATCACCACCCACAGCTACTCATCGCATGATAGGAAATGCAGTGTCCTGGTTACGCTTACACGCAGCCTGTTTGACTCTTTAATGAGCTCACACTGCATGGACTATATGGGTAAAACCCTGCCTGACAGACTGCCATTGTAGGCTGTCTTATAGCTGCATTGATTTCCACTCCAAGACTCTCAGTAATGAGTGAGCTCCGTGAGCGTGTCGCACCATGTACCTTACTGTAATGGAAAGTGTTTGCGTGAATTCTTTTGACTCTAATAAAATGATTACTACAAGGATCACGTTAAAGTGGCTCAGTCAAAAACTCCCAATGGTGACTGCCGATTGCAGTATGGTGGCCCGTGGGTGCCCGCGAAGGTAGGTTTAACTTGGCTGAACCTGTCCCTTATGGCCGCCGCCATCTTGATACAGTGCATCCTCTTCAGCTCTTGGTATTTCATCTAGGGATTGACTGATTATCGATCTGGCCGATATTATCGGGCGATGTTCTGTATTTTCAGCAATATCGGTATCGGCAAATAAAGATACCGATATTGTAGCTAATGCAGACCAGGGCCGCCATAGCACACTCTTACCTTCCCAGCAGCTCCCTTCAGCCCCCCTCTCTAACTCTTGCGAGTACCGTGGCCATCAGAGCGTTGACACGGGTTACTATGGCAACACTCCGCGCAGCTCGCAGGACCGCGAGAGTTAGACAGGGGAGCTGCTGGGAAGGTAAGTAAGATGTTTCCCCTCAGGAAATGCCATATCCCCCTCCCTGGCCAGGTAAGAAGCAGGGAGGAGGGGGGGGGGACTAAAACCCATCTTACACACACATTGCATCCACTATATACACATTACACAAACACACTGCATCCACTATACACACATTACACAAACTCACTCTGCATTCACTATACACACACTCTGTAATCATTATATACACACTACACAAACACACTCTGCATTCATTATATACACACTACACACACTCTGCATTCTTTATACATACATACACACACACACACACACACACACTCTTCATTCATTATACACACACACACACACACTCTGCATTCATTATACACACACACACTCTCTGCATTCTTTATACACACACATACACTCTCTGCATTCTTTATACACACACATACACTCTCTGCATTCTTTATACACACACACACTCTGCATTCATTATATATACACACATACACACACACTCTGCATTCATTATATATACACACACACTCTGTATTCGTTAAACACACACATTGCATTCATTATTCAATGCAGAGTGTATGTGTATATATAATGAATGCAGAGTGTGTGTGTGTATATAATGAATGCAGTGTGTGTGTGTGTGTGTGTGTGTGTGTGTGTATAATGAATGCAGAGTGTGTGTGTGTGTGTAACGAATGCAGTGTGTGTGTGTATATAATGCATTCATTATATACACTCTGCATTCATTATATACACACACACACTCTGCATTCATTATATACACACACACTCACTCTGCATTCATTATATATACACACACTCACTCTGCATTCATTATATACACTCTGCATTCATTATATACACACACACTACACACACATTCTTGAAAACATAAATTCTGACTGGCATGTATATTTTGTGCGTTTTCCTTAATAAAAAAAAAAAAGAGATTTGCAAAAAAATAAATAATAAACATGTTCAGTTAACAGATTTGTGTAGAAATATATATATATTTTTTTTAAACGGTAAATGTACAGAGTATCGGTAAGTTATCGGCTTGGAAGTTCACAGATTATCGATATCTGCTCCAGAAAAATCAATATCGGTCGATCCCTAGTTTCATCTGCCTGGAGCCAATTTCAGTGTTTGTACTCCTGTGCATGGCCACGGGTGCCTCCATAAACAGAGCCTTTCCTCCTTC